AAAAAAAAATTTTTAGTATATATAAACTCCACGAGACAAAAAAAAATCTCCGCACATGAGTAAAAAAAAAAGGCTCCGCAAATTGCGGAGAGATGACAAATTATCTCTCCGCACGGTGTAAAGAGAAAAACAAAAACTTTCGAGACTTTATCTGCAAGTTCCACGAGACCTTTTCTCAAATAACTTTTGAGTAATGCATTGAACACTTTAATTCCTGGCCTACAACTCGTAGGTATAATTTCATTGAAAATTGTATCCGCTTCTAATATTCAAGAGCTATTATCAAGCAAGTTTAAAATATTGAATTTGGGTGGTACCCTAGACCCTCCATTTGTGAAAGCAATGCCATGATACTATGAATATCCCCTTTTGTGTCATTGTATGAATCACGAGAAAGCTCATTTCAAATACTATAAATATGATTTGAATGCTCAAAAATTGAGCTGTAACTGAAACTTAAATAAGACATAATTGATTTTGAGCCATTTTTCGACTCTGTTTTATTGTATATATGAAAAATTTACAATCTTAAAATTTGACTTGTAACTAAGGAATTTGAAAATAACAATCTGCACTATGCTGAGAGATTTTTTTCTCTTTATATTGTGCGGATAGCTGGTTTGTCATCTCTGCACCATGCGGAGAGTTTTTTTTTTTACTCCGCACTGTGCGAAGAGTTTGTCCACTCTTCACACATGGTTCAACTCTCTCCGCACTGTACGGAGAGTTTTTTTTTACTCCGCACATGGTTCAACTTTCTATGCACTGTGCGGAGAGTTTTACCATGGTGCGGACCAACTCTTCGCACAGTGCGGAGAGTTTTTTTCCTCTTTGTACTGTGCGGAGAGTTTTTTTTTTTTTTTTTAAACTCCACACCGTGCGAAGAGTTTGTCAACTCTCCGCACATGTTTCACACATGGTTCAACGGAGTGCGGAGAGTTTTTTTTTTTATTTTACAATATTGAATTACACAAAATTTAAAAATATTAATCTTCACATTCAATTCAATCATATCAACGCTATCAAAGAATACAAGCAAAATAGTTTGTATATTTCTTATTCAAGCATGAAATATACAAACATATTTTTTCTAGATAACATACTACTATGCAATTGTAAAAATAATTTAAAATTATTTTCTTATATCATGGAAATATTTTTAGATATTGTTTCAAAAACTTTCCAAAAATACTAAAATTCATACACTAGTAAAAATACGATAAATACAAAATTCGTGCAACGCACGTGATAGCGATTAGTCTCTATTAAAAAACGAAATGCTAGAATGATACTTGAGGAAATATTAGATGAAGATCTTATAGTTTTTGCATTTTCATAAACCACCACGAAGGGGAAGTCGAAGAAGATACGGACAATGACCCCCTCTTTATAACAAAGATAAGCTTAGTGGTGCCCTTCACCCGTATTTCTCTCTTCTTCGCCTTTAAATCCTACCCATATTTTAGCACAAAAGGTACTCCAAAGTATACAATTTGAGATTAAAAAATAATAATAATAATTAAAAAAAACTACGAAGAAACATGCCATTCTATATAGATAATTCTCTAAAAAATGATTCTATTATTATTTTGTTTGTAAAATTTTGTATTAATTACTAGATAGCAAAATATTAAATTATGTTTATAGAACGCAGCTGGTTTTATGAAATTTTATTAAATATCAGAGTTCATTAATTATTGGGTGATGGATTTCTTAGTCGTTGAAAGCATTTTGATAGGCTGAAATTCATGTAGAGATATCCAGTTTACTTTAGTATTTAATTGTCTGAGAAAGTTTACCAATTAAAATAGAGAAAATCGATTGGATACTCATATTAAATACTGTAAAGCTTAATAGGAGAAGTTAGAGTGAAAAATTATGGTGAAGTCAAAGTTCTAACATTTCCACTCGCAATTACATTAGTAGAGTAAGAGACATGAGATTAGTTAGTTTTATAATCACTTCTCAAAATATTAGTCGTTTAAATAAGGCTAGAATTAGTTGTGTTCGTACTTAATAGTACGATCTTCGAATTAAAGATATTTTACTTTTATATTATTTATTTGTTATGGGTCGTTCACTAGCGAATTTATTTCTTTTTAAAATGATTGCTCAATTTTATTTTATTTTTGTTCTAATTAGGTAACTTAATTGAAATTATTAGTTTTAAATGTCTTATGCAGCGGACAACACTTAGGTAAATTAATTGAAATTATTAGTTTTAATAGAAGAAGTAACGAAATGGCCCGTGATTATTGATTTGTGGTTCAGATAAGAACTTAACTAACTGTACTACACATTATCCAGATACAATTTGTATGATGATGATGATGATGATGATGATGATGATGATAGTAAAGTCGTTTTTTAAAGTTCCAAATTGTTAAGACAATAAATCAGAATATAAGAGTATGTCAAAATTGTATAGAGATTTGTCAAAGTTCATAATGTCAATAGTTCATAAATTCTTATCACTTGAAACTGTTTAATTGGTTATAGAATGTTGGTTATAATCAACTTTTATCAATTATGTAAGTGATCCTGTTAGTCAATTATGAAAATTCGAAGGTTGAGTATATTCTTCTTCACTATTAAATGATCATCGTAATATATTTCGTTGTTTGAAACGAATTTCAGGTGACAAAAAAATTGAGTTGATTAGAACACTCAATGGTGGAATGTTTCGATCGAGTTATGTCATATGACAAAATATTTTAGGAATTGTTTGACTCAAGAATCACATTTGCATTATTATAGGGGAAATGATAAATGTACAGCTACAGCCCCCTCGCAAGATGGGATTGTAAAACTTGTTGTACACCAGAGTGTATAGTAAGCATCTCTCTTCTTATAGATATGTCTTTTGAGGAAATGTCCTTTCACACGTCTTTTTAGACTAGTGACAAATTATAGTCCATTACTCTTGTGGTTCGAAGGGCAGCTATTGCAAGAAGAGATTGTTGTCTTGAAAGATATTTGACACTCATCGTGAACATTTACATGACAAATACATTTTAAGGATAAAGAGTCGAACTCTTATCTCGATCTACATTTCTTTCTATCAATTTGTTCAATATGCATTAATTAAATATTGCATATCTGAGGCTAAAATTATTAAAAATATTTATGGATTCCAAAAGTTATTCGTGTTGGGTGGGATATGTGCGCAATAGTTGTAGGACATGAGTGTAATTATTGAAAATTTGTTTTGTCATGTATGCTTGAATTCTTTTAGAAATTATGAGCATGCGATCAAGTGCATTCGGCATCTTTAAGACAATTTGAGTTAGCTACTTCAAGTACAAATAGTTATATTCATGTTTCGATCGATAATTAATTTGTCCTATGATAATGAGCAAATATTGGCACTTTAAGTCGTAGGATGTGTTTTTCTGTCAATTGGGTTACTCGATCGATATTGGCCATGGTGATATTTCCTTCAAAAGTAAAGACACTAAAATAGTTTGAAGTTTCCAGTACGTGTAGATTAATTCCTATAGTAAGATCACATGTCAATACTTTCTATGAAAAATGCGGTTATTTTACATAAATTTCTACTTTTGTATTGTTTGATTGATTTTTTTTTTCAACTTTTGATCACACGACCATATTTTCCTCAAAATTAATGAAAATATTTTTTTTAAGGAGAGTAGAATTTTATTTTCCACGAAATTCACCATCTCTTTCTCTCTCTTACCTATCAATTCTCTCTCATCTCCACACCAATAACAAAATGGACGAGTATAACAATTTTAAAGTTAAAAATTGAATCAATCAAACACATTTAATTAACAATTTTCATACAAGTAAATTCTAAGCAATTGAATTGCATAAAATTTATTTTCTTTATATGCAAATTTTATGCTCGCAATCAAACGTACCCTATGTATTGGACGTGATATTGTTTAATCATGTTCAAACATGACACCATCATGTAGCATTTTTAGGCTTTGTTTGCCTTCCATTTTTTCATATTTTACCACATTACTTTTTTATAGTACTTATTTTCAACCACACATTCTTCATTAAAATAATATTACACGCAGATCAAAAATTTTTCTTTCTTTTTTAATCACACATTTTAATATCAATCACTATTTCATAATACGTTACTCACAAATAATGGGACACAAACAAGCACTTAATTTGTCCGTGTTTGACTAATCATTTAGTCTAAAACAATATTCAAAATAACAACGAACACCAAATCTATTGATTTCCGCTGTAAAATTTGGGCATTAAAGTAAATTTCAAAATTGGAAGTCTACAAATCCTCCCATTTGAAATTGAAAAATGAAAGTAAAATTACACATAAAAACTTCTCTCTTTCTCCACCCATTCAAAATTCATAAAAAGACACTATAAACAACTTCTAGTTTCTCCACTTCATTGCTTCACTTTGTAAGATTATTTATTGATAAATATTTCTTTAACAACTTACTTTATATATAGAGTAGTTTCTTATTTTTGCATTTGTATTTTTCATTTTTCTAATGATTTGATTCTTACAAAATTTTTAAGTTATTAATTTGATGAGAGATATCTATTTCATGCATACTCTCTAAATATATTTTCTAGGTTTTACAGCCACCGATCTCCACCAATTGCTTTCACCATTTCCCATCAAATTGAACATATCAAATTCATGAGAGGCATTTATAAATGTTCCCTACTATGTTTGGTTGGAGTGGAGGGGAGATGACAGGGTATTGAAAAATTTGGTAAAGGTCGAGGGTCCGGGAAGGGGACAAACATTTTATTTTTCATATTTATTACTTATTAATATATGACATAACCTATCGATATGTTGCAAAGAAGTTAAAAAAAAAAAAAAAAAAAGGTGAGACACTACACCGCAACATATCAATAAGTTGAGGACCAATGCTGAAATGACTTCATAGAAATTAGAAAAACAACAAAGGGTATTTATGTCAAAGAATAGCCGCGTTAAGGTCGCCCTTCTATATATACCCCTCAATCCCGGGCTTGGTTATATTGCTTTGTTGTTTACGCGTTCTGTAGTTGAATTTTGGGTCGCCGAAACCCTAAACCTAGGGCTCTGAAAATCAGTAGAAATCATTTTATTAAATCATTAATTTGCGCGGGTCTTGTAGATCTCAAGTCATATTCCTATTATTATAATTTTTTTCAATCAATTACTGGTTTTTTTCCCTTTTCGGGAAATCTTCGATTCGATCTTGAAGATATGTCTCGGTGCTTTCCTTACCCACCACCAGGGTACTCACTGAGCAGAGCCAGCAATGAGGCCTTGATCGAATCGATTAAGGTTTGTTTAACAAACACTGAACGTCGATTGATTTGAATGGGTTTATGTATAAGCATGAGTTCTCATCGATGTAATTTTGTGGGTTTCTCTATGTACGACTCCGACATGTAAATAACCACAAAAAGTATTGGGCCGCGTTTGTTTAGGTGTACAATTCAGTATTAATTTTAGTAATAGGGTTTTCTAGAAGTCAATTTTTATATCTGTATGTATGATGTGGGATTTTGTAGCTTATACTCCTTTACGTGAATTTTTTGACCTAAAAAAGACTCCAGAGCCAAATCGGGTGTGCATGTTTATTTTACGATCAATGCAGCACTGGTGTTAAAATACCAATCTAAGTGGCACTAATATAACACAAAATGGGAGGCAACAATTAAACGAGTCACTTAATTATATCTAGGCCACCTAGATGCGGAATTTTGTAGCCTATGTTGATGGATACATATTTGGGTGGTTCTGAAGTTGATATGGGTTTTTGTAGCTGATATCAATGGATGATAAAAGATTTTCATCATGTTGACGTTCTTGAGAGCAACCCATTTGAAAATGGAAAGGTAGTAATATTTAGTTTGTGAACAATTGGGCAGAAGGTGATTATACCATCTTACTTGTGTTGGACTTTTGTAAGTGAAGATCTTATTCCTCTGGGAGTAAGAATTTTTGGTTCCAAGAAGTGCTGTATGTTGAATCAGACTTGTGATTTTCATACTTACACTGTGTGGAAGATATTGAGTGATATTGAAACACATGGAAGTCGAAATAACCAAAGGTTTTGTAATGTGATTAACAATAAATATTTAGTTGACTCTGTTTCAAATAAATTACTAATATAAAGAAGGTTCATGAGTACCTGAAACAACATGAAGAAACTTTAAGATTGATTCGGTACTTGTCCGGTGTTTGGTTTACGTGGAAGTCAAATTCGCCGGAGGCTTTGTCATGTGATTAAAAATATATATTTATTTGACTCTGGTTTAAATAAATTACTAATATAAAGAAGTTCCATGAGCACCTGAAACAACATGAAGAAACTTTAAGATTGATTCAGCATTTGTCTGTCGTTTGGTTTAAGGTTTCTCTGCAAAAAGAGAATTGGTGTGTTGTTAGGAACTGTAATGATGAGGTATGGAAAGTTGGACTTGCTTTCTAGATAGGTTTACTAATGAGATTGTGGATTGATGATTGCTGGTTCCATGTTAGTTGGCAAGTCACCCGAAATGTGTTTGTTTCTGAAGTAAAATATTTTTTGAACAAATTATGGCTGTCAGTGTTATTTTGTGGGCTTGAAGAGTTTTTATTTCAATATTAGTTCTTGAACCCACACATGGTCTTAATTACAAGATAACCTAAATGTGAAAATTGTTGGATGCTGCTTGAGGACCATGTTAGTATATTTAGAACTGGTATGCTGTGTTTTATGAAATCGTACACAATTTTATGGTGGTGGAAATGCAGCAGGTTTTTGATTTGTTGATGCTATTACTAGTCTTGCTTTTGGGTAAATTTTTTTACTTAGTAGCTTTTTGAAATCCGGTTAGAATTTGTAAAAAAGATTAAGGGACACTGCTAAGTGCCATCTGAATGTTTCAAGTCATTTTCTTTTATGGATTATGGTTTTAGATGGTGACTTAATCGACCTTTTTCTGATCAGAGGTCTGTAAGTGATCAAATTTAGTCCTCTATTTTATGTTATCTGGACACGAGGCAAAATATCTTCAGTTTTTCAGAGGGGACCAAATCTAATAATACATCCATTATTGTTCTTTTGAATTCATTAAAATTGTTCACTTTGGATATGCCTTATTTTTTTTTGACTTTTGACTAAGAGCTTGTGCACTTGTCTCTCTTTTTTTTTAGTGAGGTTTGAGTAGGATTTATTTTCAATGGAACCCATGCTCGTTTACTATTTGATGGAACAAGACTTCTTTAGATAGAGGTTCCATAAACTCCTAGTAACGGAATTGTCCTTGATCAATCATTTTTGAATTTTGAAAAATGCTAGATTTTATTTTTTTTCTGTAATTGTGTGTTGGATCCCTGTGTTCAATTGGAAATATTTGTGTTGAGTTGTGAAAAGACCAAAGTTTGGCCCAGATTCTCTGTTTCTGTTATGAAGATGCACGGCATCTAAGAAGCTTCAAAAATGTCATGTTAAATTGCATAGTGAATTATGCTTTTAGGTCTCTGTTTCATATCCTGGCCATGTTATATATAGGCTTCGATAGTCTTCAATACTAAATTTATTATTCTGGTGCTCTAAAGCTCCAAAATGAGAGGGAGAAGTCAAACAAAGAAAGGAAGAAGGAAAAGAGAAGGGAGAAGGAAGAGAAAAGGAAAGAGAGAGAGAAAAAGAAAGAGAAGACAAATCAGAACTCTGGTAAGTCTCATAATGTTGACAATGTTCGTGTTGAAGAAAACATTTGGGTGGATTCTAGAGGCAAGCTTCTTCAAAAGGGAAGAAAAGCTGAAATTGAACAGTTGGAAAGAAGCAGTCTCACTGAAGAGCACGAGCAACCTCTCTGTTCTCGCATTCCCAGCTCTTCTTTTGAAAGCACAGAGAACAGCAACAAGAGGAAGAGGCATACCTCATCTATAGATGGTAGCAACAGTCTTGGTAAGTTTGTGTTTTCCCCTTGACAAAATTTATTTTTATTCTTTTTCCAGGGATGTATATTTGGAGCTTCCTCTGTGGTCCTTATATTAGTTGTTATGGATGAGGAACAGGTAACATTATCAAGATCCGATTGCCATCAAAGAAGAAGAAAGAACCTGATACTTCATTTGATAACCCACAGCTTTGCTCTACATCCGGAAGGATGGATTTTCCTGCACAACAGAAAGATGAAATTGCTCTCAGAGCTAGTCAAGGAACAGTTTGCCCCTCTTCACAGGGAGCCCATAACCTTGTTCAAGGATTTCCAACTAGAACTGATCAAGAGCTAATTTTTTCAGCTTCTAGGCAGATGGAGGTTGCTGCTCAAGGCAAACTGGGAACTTCATCTGGCGCCAATACAGTGTTGACTCCAATGCAGAGATTGGAATTACAGTATAAGGACTTAGTTGAAAATTGGGTTCCTCCTGAATTACATGCTTTGGTGAATTATCCGGATGATCAAGAATGGCTCTCCCAGAGCAAGGATAATGATGTGCGTTCAGAGAAAAGATTCAGATCCAGCGGTGATGCTGTACCCTGTTCTAGCAGCTTGTCATTGTGGCCTCAATCAAGATACTTGCCTGATGCTGATATTTATGCATTGCCTTTTACGGTCCCATTTTGAGGTCACACAAGTCGAGTGATGGCTAATTGCTGTTGAGGACAGGTTGGAATGGGCTTGGAAGATTATGGTGGCAAGTATGCCACCTTTATGGCAGCATCTACTCCTGCATTGTACTGTACTGCTGCTTCAGAGGCTATATAGGAGCAGACAGTATATGTATTATATGAAGATGTTAGTGTAATGATTTGTGTATAAGAGCGGATATTTTTCATCTGGAACAGGGCAACAGGCTCCCTCCCTTTCAGTCGTTCGCATATCAAGAGTCTTTTTGTTAATGCTATATTACATGTAATAATATTCTTTCAATGGCATTGGGAGTTCTTTTCAAATCTATACAGGTGCTATGAAATGACTTGAAGGTCCTTGTTATCATTTTGTATCCCACTCTAAAGAAATAAAAAATAATTCATATTTATGTTTGAAACCAATTTTTTTTTTTCTCAGAATGTATTTAGAAATGGCAAAGAATGTGTGTTTAAAAAAATAAAAATGAAATGTTTTGAATTTGCATATATTTTAGATATAATGGAAGTCAAACAAGGGTTAAATATATTTTATTGAAGTGCTTGTTTAAAATAGATCAAAGGGAAAGTTGCAGTCATGATGCCAAATATTTCATTTACTAAAAATTTAGATTCAAACCTTTTATTTGTGTCATCTACGATACCAAACCTTTTAAAAATTCTCACTTAGAGTCCAAATTGATAAAAAAATGTTAGTTTAATCGTAAGTTGACTAGATAATTGACCTTGACAATAATTTTGACTAATTTTAAAAGTTAAAATGGGAATTTATATTTTTTTACAATAAAATAACTAAAACCAAATAACTAAAATCAAAAATAAAAAAACCAAATAACTTCTTCTTCTCCATCCACCCCTCACATACCTACCCCCACCCCAAGACCACCACTACCAGATGGCTCCACCGCACCCACCCAACGCCTCCACCTCCATCACACCACCACATCTCCACCTCAAATTCACAACCAACAAAACATAATTGTTGACAAGATAAGGTTCAACTTTTAAATATACAAGGTGAACAAGCTGTGCAGTGAACATTAATGCCACCGCAAACGCCACCATCTAATTGCCACCTTCGCCATTGCTTTTTCTCACAACCATTACCATTTTCATTCACTTGAGCCATTACTCACACTACAATAACAAAAAAAATGCAAAATCAAATCTGAAGAAAAGAAACCATCACACTTTTGTTATCGGGTGGCGGTGACAATGGCGATGGTGATGGCCTTCGACGGCCTAGATGGCGGTGGTGATCAATAGCCTGGGTGGTGGCAGTGACGACTTTGGGACAAGGGAAAATGTATGGGAATGGACACAAAAGGCTTGGTTTGGGTTTGGGTTTGTGTTGTTTTTTTATTTATTTTTATTGTTTATAATTATTTTACAAACACACATAAATATACCTTTTTACCTTTTAAAAATTAATCAACATTTGGTCAGACTGTTGACCTATAGTCAATTAACAGAGAAACTAATGAAAACCATCTATTTGGACTTCAAGCAAGAATTTTTGAAAGGTTTGGTACTGTGAGTGACATAAATAAGAGGTTTGAGTTAAATCTGCTATTAAATGAAAGAATTGGTACTGTGGCTACAATTTTCCCTATATTAAAGTTCTCCCTATATTTTAAATAACTTGACAAAATTGCGCAACTGATTAAATTATTTATAAACATTTAAGGTTGTGTTACAAGTATATTATACATTTGGAGTAACTTATAAGTATTATTTACTTGTCTACCACTTAATTCTGTATATATATAATTTAAACAATTTATAAACACTTTCCAAACATACTTTTAAACATATAAGAAAATCAAATATGAAAGATGTGCTTAGAAAATAGAATTCTTCCACAAGTAACACAATGGAGGCAATTCCTGAACAAAACCTTTCAAATGGAAGGCTGTAAACTCAGTTTCAAGCCAAGCCTGCAGTTCAATTGAATATGGAGATTGGAGAATATATCCTTGCCATTCTCGTTGATTTACATAACTATAATTCAAATCACACCACACACCAAAAGCAACTAATAATACGTGTTTCATCATGGAACACTAGACGAGTAAGTTACATATCATAAACTGAGTACAGGAGGGGAGATAACAGGAAAAGACAATGCTTTAACAGTATATTTGGTATATAGTACTGAACAAGACCGATGTATCCAGTATCTTAACTTCACTTTACTGAACAAGCCATAACAGTAATATCTAGTGAGTTAGTGGAGACTATTTAGAGTACTCGCCTCTCCCTGGAGAAAATTGGCCATCTTCTATCTCGGTTTCCAGTATTACAAAATGGAGCAGGCCTTTTGTCCCTTTTTCTTCTTCTTCTTTTGCTTCGGTGGCTGGAGTACTACCTTAATTGCTGCATCAAATACGGCCTTCACATTCTGCACAAATACAAACCATCATGAGAAACAAGATAAAGGACTATGATCGCAGTTCCAGAAAAAAAAAAAAAAAAGATACGTACCTGCTGTGTTTTTGAACTACACTCGATGTACACAGCAGCTCCTATTAGTTTCTTGAGTTCTTCTCCCTTCAAGGAAATTACGCACGTGTAAAATTAAGAGACCCCAAAATAGCATAGGAGAAAAAAGAAATTGGTGATTCCTCTTACTTGTGATGTACTGATGGGCACTGCTCCAGGATGATCTACAAAGTATTGCTTATCATCTCTAAGATCTGCAAACGATAAGTATCATCAAACATAAGGACACCTGCCCTGGAGACAAAAAGAATGGACAGAGAAATCTAGATTCTGATAGGATTCCAAAAAAGAAGACTCAATCTGAAACGGAAATTGATTCTGATATATTGCAGAAATTACATGTAAATCGACTAATACTAGACTCCTATGCCTTACTCAATAATTGCCTGCTATGTTTACCTTAAGCCCCCCTATTTATAACCTGTTTCTAACAAACTTATTCCCCTCCCTACATGCTCCTAAACAGAATTTAGTTATCCCCTGTGCCAGCTGATTTCCCACCCTTCTTGAATCTTCTAGAATAGGTGAAGTGGACGGGAGGCCTAACAGATTCAAACTTGCTAGGATTAGGTAAATCGAGCTTCAAAATGGTATCAATCAGTTACACGAGGGTCAAATGCCAAGATTTTCTATTAACAGACATTTAAAAAAGGTTTTGTGACATAATGATCTTAGTTTAATAAGATATTTAACAAAATTATTTCTTATGTCAACTGGTGGAAGAAGAGTATGTTAGTCCCCATTCATGAAAGCATGGGAGATATTCAAATTGTGCTAATTATCATGGCATTAACTAAATGAGAGAGGGATGGACAAACAATTTATGTGTAAAATGATGGTTTCAAAGAACCAGTTTGGGTTTGTACACTAGAGATTGATGATGGTAGCTATTTATGTCCAAAGAATAATCGACAGTACAAGAATAAGAAATACCTCTGTAAACTTTAATCAATACATGTATTAACAATATACTAATGCCTTATTCTCAAAAAGTTTGACGAAGTTTACAAAAAATCATTGTTCACCGTTCAATCTATCCAGCACTACATATTCTAAAAACAAATGAAATTCAATATTTTGCAACTATCACACGATAAAAACAATGCAAAAGGGCTTTACAAGGCCAAGAACTTAACAATCCATCTCCACTCCTAAAATTGGACAAAGCAGCATACTGAAACCAGCTAATTCTTAAAAGAAATGAAAAGAGCGGCAAAATGATAGGAAAGCATCACAAAACTTGAGAAAGCTTACCCAGCTTTGTTCCCACAAGAATTATTGGAACACCTGGTGCATAATGCCTTAACTCAGGAATCCACTAAAAATTG